TGAACCACTTCAAGGGTTCTTTACAGTTATATTTTTGTCTGAACAATGACAGACCCTTTAAACATTTCAACTGATGCTTCTAAGCTGAGTGCTTGTAAGATTCATATCTCAGTGATTCAGAAGATCTCATTTACCTTGAAGAGTGTGGCTTTTTCAGGGATTATCCCTTTAATTTTCACTTGAGGTTCCAGAGGAAGTGGAATAAGTTCCATATCTGCTAAATTCATCTTTTCGTTATCTGCTAATAACGCCTGAAGCCTCTCATTCTAAAAGAATAAAAAATTGCTTTTAAAGAAAACCAACCATAAAGCAAGTATCATGTATATATGAACAGTTAAAAAGTCTTTTAACCAAGAATGTATTATTAATATCCAATGTATTCAGTTTTTTTCACTCTTCCAAAGAATCAAGGTTTCACTTTTAAAATCCAGTGAAATAAAGATCCTCTGAAGGATTCTGAATAAGGAAGCAGATATTCCATCTGAGTATACTCAAACATTTTTATAAGTGCCAGACATAACAGTCTCAGAAAAACCTCTTTCTAATTTGCCTGCACAAGTAGCAGGATGATTTGTTTTCCACACCGCTATCAAATGTTAGTTCTGTTTCAGAAACGTGATTCATGTCTTTAGCTCTGGTCCTCTATAACCCTCAACAAAAAGACATCCCCTACCACCAATGAACCAAACGAGCAACAGCTTGCATAGATCTGATTTCAGGGACTGTTCTACATTCCTGCATCTGGAGCTACCAGAAGCACAGTACTAGTCAATTTTCGAGTACTTTACACGTGTTGTTTTGAGTAATACAGGTCCAATAGATAGAAGTGTCTAGTCTTTCCCCCTATTGAATGTAACAGGCATAGGCACAGAGCAAGGTAGCTCACTCCTGTTAGGAATTCGTCTAGTGATTAGCTAGATTTTAACCAAAAACTAAAAGCTATGTGCTTTTTAGTTTTACAGAAATGTCCTGGCAATTATAAACTAATATATGACAGAACACTAACAATGTATTGCACAAGAAGGAAATACACTCTTATGAGCCGAAAAACCCTCTTCCTCTTTTAGTTACTTTTATTACTGATGCACAGAACATACACAAAATTTCATAAAAAGGATGCAATGCATTGTTTCATTTTCTTCTGCAGATATATCCCACAGATTTAAAGAAAGGTGACAAAAATCATCGTCACACTGAAAAAATCCATGTATAAAAATCCTGATGTGTGTCAGAGGAAAAGAAAACACATGAATGGAAAACCCTTTGGATTGGATTCCTGCTTTCTCCCCATACACCATCCGTCAAGTTCACTTGAAATATTTAACTAAAAAGGACAAATCTTCTTAAAATGCACCTATGACAGAAATACTTTCCTCAAGCTTTATCAAGAGGCAAAGTTCTTTTAAACACATAGCTCATAAAGCAGTTTTGTTGGTCTTGGAACAAAAGAGACCTTGCTGCTAGTCAATTTTTTAGTGGAAAGCTAACATTCCTCTTGTCAGACTCTAGCCAGAGGTAAGTTTTGCAATCCTGTAGTTACCTTTTTCTTACGGTTCCCGCTTTCACGCTGCACTGCCTTCATCACATGGACCAGCCGGTCCACAAACGTCTGCTGAGCGGCCAGCAAGGAGCGCATGACTCGGACAGACTTATCACCCTAATGAATTAGAAGAAACAAAATCAGTCCTTTGGTCTGTAATTATTGTATCTAGAAATTATTCCTTTATCCCTAGCCCTTTGGGCTTTTAAGACTTAAGTGAATAACAATCAATTTCTTGCCAATTCAACAGGTATTTTCTGTAAAACACAATCAGAATCACTGTAGCTGGCAATCAATTATCTGACCTACCAGTACACCTCAATTTGCTTCAGCAGCTCTAGTGTGGAACACTCATGCATGACAAACCTATTCACACAGCCAAAGGAAGTTAAGTAAAGATAAGCACATGGAATATTCATATGAAGCATAAAAGATTTCAGTTATATCCCTAAAATCAGAATTAACTGTTAGTGTTAAGAATTAAGTAAAATCAAGAAAGACTGCACATCTGCTATAAATTACAGCTTGCAATTCACAAAAGCTTGTTTTCCATTCCTGCCTTTTTTCCCTGCTGCTCCAGCACCCTCTGCTGCTGACAGACAAAATAACACCGAATTCAAAACATGTCTCTTGTCTCAATTTGCACTGCAGGGACAAGTGCCTCCAATAAAGAAATCATAAATAAAATAAATTGATTATAAATAAAAAATGTTTTTTAAAAAAATTATAAATAAGTAAAATAAATTGATTACACAAAGCAGAGGATTTTAGGCCAGCATGCTACTAACAGCAATAAAACAGTGAAGAGTTCTCAATACTTGTTCTTTTCAACATTTTCCTTGGTTTACAACAAACTCAAAATCCAAGCAGAAATAGAACCTTTTCACAAATTTCAGTACACTGGGTATAAAAAGCTGTTGTCCTCCTAGACACCTGCACCCTTCTGAAGAAAGAGTACCCCAAACCACTATGCATGTCTATCACACAGGCATTACCTTCAGCAAAGCCTGACTAAATCTTCTCATCACATTTAAGTACATTTCATGAGTCTTTGGGTCCCTCTGCTGCGTGTCCTGGTCTTCACACTCCACTATTACATACCTGCAGCACAAAAACAACCCAAGTTATGCCATACGCTGGTGCTGCACAACTGGAGTGAAATACAGTAGATCTGTAATACAGACCTAGAACTAAAAACAAAGTCAATCTTAGAGATCTAATTCCACCTTAACCAAGAGAAGAGTTTTTCAAAACTGTAAATTCTCTCTTGGATCAGGAGAGCCTATCAAAGCTTCTGAGGTCTTTGAAATACAATGGCATCACTCAGGGCAAGTCAGAAGTCCAAACTGTACACACACTCCAACCAAGCAGTACACATGGCAGGAGCAGGCATTCCCCTGTCCTATTGCCCTCTGCACAATGTAGTGGCTGCAGACTTGCTATTCAGGTATACCTGCAAAACCAAGAAGAATCCCACCCTACCCGCTCCCTATTTGACATTAGCAATGGTGGAAGAGACAGTATTGGTCCTGAGGCAGCTCTGCAAAGTCTACATTCCAAAACAAGTCTTCACTGCTAACAGTTTGAGACTGTTATATTGGAAATTTATTTCAATAAATAGCAAAGCAGTTGTTTGGAATGCTTTTGTGTTTAATTCTGTTCACAGCACTGACAAACGAAGAGCAGTTATGCACTGAAGGTCTTTCTGTTGTTCACTATCTCCTTGTGCTACCCAGTAAGAACACATAAGCCTGCTATTAAAGAAGGTAAGAAAAAAGCAGGTCAGCTAATTTTCAAACACTTTGGGTTCAGAAGTGACTCTACACATTCAACACACACTTGAACTTCATTAGCTGCCAGCTAATTTAGCCCTTCCTTTTGCACTTGGGAAGAATTTCTTTGCAGTTGAATGATTATGGGACAAGATTAGAGGACTGTCATTTACACCTGATCAGATTTGACCAATGTTACTTATAAGTACAAAATACATAAAATCAAGGAAAGGTTTGAGTTGGAAGGAACTTTATAAAGATCATCTAGTTCCAATGCCTGTGCCATGGGCAAGGACACCTCCCACTAGACCAGGTTGCTCAAAGCCACATCCACCCTGGCCTTGAACACTTCCAGAGATGGGGCATCCTGAACTTCCCTGGGAAACCTGTTTCAGTATCTCACCACCCTCACTGTAATGAATTTCTTCCTAATATCTAATCTAAATCTATGATCTTTAAGTTTAAAACTGTTGTCCTTCATCCTCATCTTTCCTGTAGGCCCCCTTTAAGTACTGAAGGCTGCTATAAGGTCTTCCTGGAGCATCCTTCAGGATAAAAAAACCCAACTCTCTCAAGACTGTCCTCAGAGGGGAGGTGATATTATATACATTAAAATCAAGTCTCTGTAGCTTCTTCCATGAGTATTATCTCAATTCAATAGCTTAATCTCAATTATCACAACTCCATGAGTACTACCTCAAGGAATCTATGAATATTACTCCAAAAACTTTGCTAATGTATTGTTCCACACCATTCCTTTAATAAAGCAACAAAACTAGATGGCATTAATATCTGTATACAAGTCCATACTTATAAATCTGTGCACTAAAATTTCAAGGACAAAACAAAGTAATTAATTGAAACATGACATTTTCATCTTCATTTGTTAAAAAGCCCTAGACAGTTTCTCAAAGCCATCTTGAAACGAGGAGTAAAGAGTAATGCTTTACACTTGGACAGATGTCTCATACATCTGAAGAAGAGACAGAAAAAAGCAGTAGCACTGACTTTTTCAGCTACTGTTAAAGTATAAGGATAGGATAGCTTTACAATGATAAGTGACTGAGCAGGAGATTTGATTTTCAAGGGTTATTGTACTTTTTCCATTGATTATTTTAGGTGCATGCTGTGTCTGGACAGTTGAAACAAGCAATTGATCAGCAGCCAACAGGATTTATGGCTATGTCAGCTCAAACAGTGGCTGCAACATTTGTATTTTGTCACTGAGAAATTGAGATGTCTGGAAAGAAAACAAAGAAAAAACTGACTGCATTTTTTGGTTTGGTGGTTGGGATTTCTTGAAGTCAGAAGACAAAAACTTCAGAGCTCTGGATGTTTGAACTTTCTGTAGACTGTCTGAGAAGCTGCTGAAATTTAAGTGCACAGTTTCTATCAATTTGATAGAAATAAGCTAATGTACTAAGACTTAATGAAGAATGTTTGATTAGGCCAAGCATTTGGCTTGTGTTCACATCAATTCAGCCTGGAATTATTTTAATCATTTAAATTTAATACCACTTTTTCTGAAACCAAACATTATCTTTGGCCACTGCAATAAGAGAATGTACACTAAGGAATGGTAGTTAAGTCATGCATTTAAATATTTTAAAATTCAATCTACTGAAGAGGCAATGAAATAACAGAATTTAAAAAGATATTTACGAATTAAATGATTCCCAGGACAGGCTAGGGTTCTTTTAAAAAGTTTGTAAGAAAAAGTTTGTTAGGTTTACACCACATATCAAACTGTTCCCAATTCATAATGTATCTATAGCACGTTAACATATGATCTATGTGTATTAGTATTTTCAATTATTAGATCCATCTACAAAGGATACAAATGAGAATCATTTGACTTAATGTTATCCATACAAAAGACAACTAAGCTCTCTATTTTCAAACACTTGTGTATACACAGGTGAACAGCTGTATGTGTGGTATATATGCATATATATACACATACACACACACACATTTCCAGAGCACAGCTCTATCCCCCTCATTTTCCTTCTTCAAAATGAGGTAACACCTACCTGCAAATGAGTCCTGAGGAGGCATGCAGATGACTAGTATAAGCACCTAATTTAATTCTTAAGCCACTGAAATGAGACAAGATCCTCAGCTAAGTACCCTTACCTCTCCACTATCTAGATGAAACAACTGAAGTTCCCCTTAAGAACGTACACCGTTGCAATGACATTTTGTTTGTGCTTATAATTAACCACAAATGAAATCTAAAAAAATCAGATTAGCACAAAGTGTGTTATGAACCTTCATAAAGTCCACCCTGATTAATACTAAGGTGTATAGCTTCCAATATTCTAGCCAACACTGTCAAAAAATATAAACACAACAGCAAAGCCTATCTGTGTCTTTTAAAAGCCAGTGCCCTCCTCTTCCTAAGTTTCTGTTCAGATGTATATTTTTTTTATATTTACTACTTCATGCTGAAAGAAACTGAGATTTTCAGCTTCTCAGGACAGGTCATCTTCTGCTGTGCATCATTTTGGCCATTATAGCTTTGATTTGAACTAGACATTGATAGAGTATGAATAAATAGTTTCTAACCTACCAGTACAAGTAGTTTGCCAACGTGGAATTTTTGCACGCTCGTGATATCAAGAAAGTGCAAAGGTCTTGCTGGAAGGGATTTAAGAAAAGTAAAATTTGTTTATAAAGAAGACTAAGCACTTGAGAGAGAAAAGTAGTTAAGTAAAAACCTCAAATAACTGAGAGATACGTTTCCTTCTAAAATCTGAATCCAATCCAACTATTATTTAAATCATGTAAGTCTTAATGTTACTCCAAATGCAGCAACAACACTACAAGTAGAAAAAGTCTGACACTACAGTAATACGTTTACCAACATGCCACAAGTGCATGATGTTGTCCAACCACAAACAGAATGCAAGGTTTCTGTTTACAGTATATTACACATTCCTCCTATGCAATTATCCTTTGCTGTAAGACTAAACCCTGAAAAAGATTTGCTTCCGTGTTTTGCACCTAGAAGACCTAAAACTCTTTAAGATTTTCTTTATGTCAAAATGTAGAACAAGCCTGTAGAGCATACACAGCATTTTGCTTTTTCAGAGTTTAATATTCCAGCTAACAAGAAATCTGTGTATCTTTACTGATATGCTCACATTGAGGCATATTTTCTATGCAGTAGTGAGACTCAAAGAAGACTTGCAACAGGGAATGGATCCTTAGTTAAAAGACCAATTAAATATACATTAGTTTAAAAAAAGATTCCCTCAAACTGTCTTTACCTTCTATCTTCCCTTCTCCCCAGTCCCACTCTTAATACTCTTTTACTCATGGTATAAATAGAGTATAATCCTTGGTAGATGTGAATCAATACAGTGTCTCACTTAGGTTCAAAAAAGATGACAGGCATGCCAAAAAATATGGCTACAGGAAGAACAGATTGTGGACACTGAAACATTTGGATCACTGTTTCACATCAGAAAGCCTCCTTTGAAACACCTCAAACACATGCCATTGTTAGGATCTCATCAGCATGTGACAGCCTTTGCAATGACTTTCTCCTTCAACAGAGAGTACTCTAATTTTATGAAGAATTCAGTGCCAAGTCCCCCAGTTTTAGACAGTGTGACGGTGTACATAAATAGATGCCCTGTAAAAAATTATTCAGTTAAACTACTGCTATTTTCTTGGCATTTACTTTACATTTATATTCTTTGAGCACTTTACTCAGCGAGATAAAGACTCAAACATTCACAAACAAGAACAAAACCCAGTATCAGGCCACTAAAAAAGTATCAAGAATGCAAGGTAAAGCATTTTACTTACATCCAGGTTTTCGTTGTCTGCAAGCTCCTTTGTCTTAGAAGTGAGAGGTGGTGAAGAAACAGGTGGGTTAGGACTCATGATCTGGGAACTACATAAAGGAAAACAGAAAACTGGCATTATTCAAAGCTCTTAGTTAGGGGGCAGGTGGCATGCATAGAAATAGCAATGCTTTCCACTTCCACAGCACAATGAAGTCAGAAAACTGGAAGCAAAATATCTTTGCAAATCGTATCTCAACCCTGTTTCAGAACAAACTGCAAGAACAGCAACTTTGACAGCTGCAGTTCCTGAACAGCAAAATCCTGTGCCTGGATAGCTACCACCATTTATGGCTGTGAAGGACAGTCACTCACATCAAGCTTAGCATTTTGTTTCATCTTCCATAAAAAATAAGCAGACATAGATGGGAATTCAGCAAATCTGCATTTCCAGGATAAGCTTATTTTAAATGTTTTTAAGATGAAACTGCTAATACACAGCACCTGCAAGCACTCATCTCTGGAATGCAATTACACATAACAGAGTAGACAAACCAAACGCTTGCAAGGCAAAATTATCAGACAGCAAATTTACCTGAAAGGAAGCAATCATACAGCTCTGCTAAAGTCTAAGTGTCACTGCAGCCTCAAAATACACCATACATCCCAGGACACCCACTCTACAGCTGAGCAGCAAGATCAATGGAAAGCAGCATACTTGTAATACAAAAACTATGCCCTAGTGAAACAAGTGATTAGACACTGAAGCTTAAGACTAAAAAACCCGGAAATTTATGTTAAATAGTCACAAGGCATGTCAGTTAACCAAGTTTATTTGCACCTTGTTTAGTACTGTATCAATTAGATATTTAAGCCTTTCCTTTGGATTCCTCCAAGGATAAAAAGCGTGCTCTGCCAGTTCCTTTGTGTTCACAGGACCCTCCTTACACCTTCTTTTGCAGGAGCAGGAAGAAATTTCTTTCCATTTCAGACTGACTCAGACTTCTAGACCTATATTCTTTGATGAAAGTGGGTAACAGAGCCTCATACAGCTTTAATGAAGAAATCCTAACTTTTGCAAGGACAGAAGGAAGCAATGCCAGTGTTTTTCCTGATCTCCAGAAGCTGTCTTCCTTTCAGATGCTGAGGTCAAAGGCCACAACTTCAAGATTAAGGATGTTTGCTCTGCAAACTATCTGTAGTCAGGGGATGTATTTTGTCAAAGTTCAGACGTTATTTTTTAGCCTTTTTTTTTTCATGTCACCACTTCAGGTTATAAAACAGGATGTTGATTATGCAATGGTCCCTTAAAAGGAGAAAGAATTTGGGGATTACAAAGTTACACATCTGCTTTTAAACTGGAAGTTCAATATTCTTACCTGTCTATTTCTGCACCATTGGTTCCCGACGTTGCCATGCTTTCTGACATTGGACCCTGACTGTCCCTCTTGCTAGGTTCCAGTCCATTCTTTATGTCATCAAAGTTTTCATATTTCAACGCCTGGACTAACTGTAGCAGGTACATAAGCAAATCCTCATGGAGGAAAAAAATGCAAATTAATTGAAGAGGTCAGACAAAACAGTCTAGACACTCTATGTTTCAAACTTCTAATGTATAGAAAATTCATCATGATTTAGTGACCTATAAAGAAATGGAAATTGGGGTCTCTCTAGTAAGCAACATACAATAGAAAAACTGGTGTAGGATGGAGCTTGACTCCCAAAAGACACTCAATTACCCCACTACTGCTGGTTCATTATTCAAAAGGTAGTAAGTGCTAACTAAGGAAATATTTAAGTGCAATTACTACTTTAAAGTTTTCTTTACTTAAGCTTCCCTACTGGCTTCCAGGATCCACAAAATAAGCTTTTTAGTTTATGGTTCCTAAAAAGAGAGTTCGAGCATAAAATCTGCACCATGTTACCAGGAATTCATATTCTCCCCTCTCTTAAGCACTATTTTTTTTTTTATCCCTTGTGTAGCTGGAGATCCAAAAAAAACCTCACATATCTTATCTATTTTAAATGACATCTATAATGAATTTTTTCTTTATTCTATTCAATTTGTTCACTCTTCTATTTAAGTCTATCCAAATGCTTCATAAAAGGTAAATTTTTTAAAGTCAAAGCAGTATGACCTTGGCTACTGAGGCAGGCTTGCAAAAATTGGATGTATTTATGCTCCTTATTTTAAACTCTACTGATTGCCAAGGATTCAAGGGTTATGGTAATACATTCAAAGTATTTTTTTTTTTTTACTGTAAAAAGAAAATAAAATATAGAAATAATTAAAATTTAACAGATTAGCATCGATGAAGTAGGCTCTAATCACAAACCACAGCTCATCATGTTCTAATCAGTATATAATTAGAAGCACCTTATTTCTACAGATGCTCTTCTGCTCACTTTCTTTACCAAGACTATGACAATATGCTCCTGCCATTTACAGATGGATTTATTGCAAATATTTTAGTAGACTAGGTTCAGAGCTCTTCTATGCAGGTCAACATTTAAAATTTACCACTAGTTTCTTCGGGAGAAGACATGGTTGTTTCACCATGTTTGACAAAACCACTTGTCACTGGCTGTTTACACTAAGACAATTACCAATAAGTGCCACTTAACAATGTGAAGACTTTGCTCCATAAAGACCTCACAGTAAAAAGTATCACAGTAATTTTTTTTTTTATTTTCCATCACTATTCACTGAAATGCCTTAAAAAGTAGTAAACATTTCAAGTACACAGTAAGATAAAAAAACCTGAGGCCAGCTGACTTTCCTGAGCACCCAGAGAGCAGTGAATACCTCATCATCAGCCTGCTGAAGGCGAGCGACAGCGTAGCGCCGGACCGTGGGGTTGGAGAAGTGAGATGACAGAAGTTCTAGAGAGTCTTCCACATCCATGGGCTTCCACTTGCCAAGCAGCTCCAGCGCTTGCTTCGCCTCCTGTGGGAGGTCCCAGTTGACACATTTTAAGAATTTTGTCAAGGCCTGAACAGAAGGAGATTGGACAATTCACCAGTGAAAAGCCAGGCTAAACAAATGAACACAGGAATTAATTCTTCACATTAAGGTATAATTAGGTTCAGACTATATTTACATAAGCACAAATTTGGAGAACCTTACTTGGGTAAGTTGACAATACGATACTGGATAGCTTTATTATGTCACCAAAAAATGCAGCTGAGTTATCTTCCAAGTAAAATATAAAGTCAATGGTTATTGCTCCAACACAATCACCACTATATAAAAACTGCCCACTGCTGGAGGAGTATTTAGCTATGTAGCTTACTTATAGCTTCTATTGTGCTACTACTTATTCTGGAAGTGCAGCCCTTGTCTACAAGGGATGGAGAAGCACCTCTTTAATAATTTTTCTTTGCCGAAGGCAAGCTGCATAACACTGGCATTTTAGGCTGACAGTCAGTGTTTGCAGAAAGACTGCTGTACTAACAGCCAATTCACATGATTTAACAGGAAAAATCAGAGTCACTAATTTTTAATTCAGTAGCATTGTAGAAAAAGTTAAAATAATTCTGACTAACCTCTAAGACACTGAAGCTCTATACCTTGGCAAGCACAGGGCATTGCAGAATGAGTGTCAGAAGAAGCACCTCTTGCACTAGTAAGCCCTGTCAAATCATTCAACTCACCTTCTCCTGATGAGTAAGGTAGTATCTGAATTTCCAAACCAGATCCTGCTCCTCATACGTTAGCTGCTTTGTTGGTGGGTAACTCACTATGATCTATTAGACACAGTCAGAAAGTGAGTTTAAAAACATGAACAGGCATTACCAACAAGTTAACAGGCTGCACTGTAACAAAGCACACCACTAACAACACACAAGAATAGCCAGGAAAAAAACAAAACTAAAACACTTTCCAACAACATAAAGTCCTCATGCTATCATAGTGATGCTCCTCAGTTACATGGATGACTGAACTAGCAGTGTAGGCAAGCATACACTGTTACCTTAAGACCACCATGAACACCTACATGATATGTGCAGAATATATGTTCCTATCACCCCCAAACTGTTCTTACTTTGAATTGGACCCAACTAACCAAGCACTTGTAAGAAACAGTTAAAACATTACTTCATTAACGATTTTTTAATAAACTGAAATTAACTGTATTTTCCTTAAACTGTCACCTTTTATTAATACCAACATACCTAATAAAATTGATTTCAGCCATCATACGACTGACTTACATTGAGCTGATCTCGGGTAGCTGCATTAGGCTTCAGATCATGATCAGAAGGTCCACTTCTTAAACTTCGAGCCAGCTTGTGATGTTTGCTTTCTACTAAGTTCTCCTAAATGCAGAGGGTAAGTCAGCATTCATAAATAAACTCCAGAGACAACTAATACTGAAACAAAACCATCCAGCAAAGACTCACCAATACTGTGAATAATGCATGGCAATTAACATTCACATCTCAAACTACAGCACGTTCTGGATTTTTTTGCTGTTCTTGTTTTAGAAGAAACTCCAATAATATGTGGAGATCTGAGGTTCTGTTTTGGTTTTTTACTTCCCATAATTTACAAACCCTCTCTTGCCTTTTGGTGAATTGCTGCAAAATGTAAGCATTTCAGTCAACACATTCGTGATTTTGACAGCACTCAAACGTGCTAGCCACTTCATAAACATTCCTTTTAGGATGATGTTTGCAGTATAAAGCTTTGTATGCAAGAAAAAACATCTCAAAAAGTTTTCCCACTGTTAATACTATGTTAGCAACAGTAGGAGCCACAATAGGAGCCACAGTGTCAACGAGATTTCAGCAGCCAAGGCAGTTTTCAGCATTGTCAGACTTGCTCTTGCAGTGTTAGGTTACACGGTGCTCAAACAGTGTTGCCAGTACAAGCCCACTTACATTAAGGTTCCCAAAGCTGCCAATACCAGTCCCACTGAATTGGCATCCACAATAATGGAAATCTTTTCTAGAACTGTACTTAGGCACTGTCTACATGAAAGACAACATACAAGAAGAGTGTAGGGAGAAAATATTTTAACAGACAAAGCGACCAAGAGTTACTGCACCATCCTCCAAGTATCTCTTCTTCAGCTCCCTCTTACCTTAAATTCCCACCCTCTGACCTCTTTGGCCACAATCCCCCTTCTCTGCTTTCCTACACCTTAGAAACAAGCACATTATGTATGGAGAGGAAGATATGAACATAAGCATTAAATCAATTCCTGTATTTTAATCTAGCAGCAGCAAAAAAAAATTAAAAAGTCAAACCCATTTCTCAACTGGTCAAATATATGTTTCCACTGGAATTTCAAAGTCTTGAAGACAACAATGTAGGCAAGCTTGCACCTCTGTTTATGAATACTTAAACCAAAAATACTATAAAATACAGATTGTATTACATGGAGAAAGCTTACCATAGACATCTGGGGATCGGGAATCTTAACAATTTCAGAACTTGTCAATATTGGAGACGATTCATCACCATCCTGAATGACAAAAAGTTGAAGGCACATTAAACATCTCAAGCTTTAGGAAAATAACAGCCGTATCAACGTATTGTGAACTATACTGCAGGGAAAGACTGATGCAACTGCACTTTGCTGACTTCTGGTAACTATAAAGGGGAAAACAGAAAGTAAGAAATTGGTTCTTTTTCATGTTAGTTTTTGCCAGATGATAACCAAGGTCGTAAGATGGATGGAAGTTCATCCCAGGAGACGCAGCTTGGCAACTCTCTGCCATGCTGGCACACAGGCAAGTGGAGAAATTCACCATTATCATGCACGCATCCTCTGGAAGCACAGAGAAAAACCAAATCAGCACCCTTATTTCCACCAAGCCCAAATAATTAGTAGAAATAAGAATCATGCTGCAGAAAATATCTCCTAGTAATTCAACACAGATGAGTTTAGGAGGATACACATGTGCCTATCTATCCCAGGTTCCTCATGGAGCACGACAGTCTCTTCCACACGTCTGTGCTACGCTGCTCTGGAGCTGTAAAACAGGAGCCCACCAGCTTTCCCTAGGTGAGTCTAACCTGATGCTGCCCAAATGAGGGAAGGGACAAGCTAAAAGCTTCCTGTTCGAAAAAAAAACAGAGCCTGCTCTCACACTCTCACATGAGAACACCAGAAACTGCCTTCCTCTTCCAGTCATCCCCAGCAGCTTGGCTTTGATTTTTTTTTTTTTTTTTTTTTTTTACCCTTACAAGTGTAACTAAGCATTCACTGATTCAGTGACAAGGCCTACAGAAGACCACTTCATTTAAGACAGTATAAAACAGCAAACTGGAAGAAAACAAGACAACACCAGCATAATATGTGTTATGCTGTACTTACACTCAGTCTGTACTCATTTATTTTGGAGTGAATTTCAGCTAAAAGTTTTTTTTGACACATCAATATTTCTCTCAGTAATCTAAGTTTTCATGTAGTTTGCTTAGATTTGATTCTCCCCCTACTCTGTTTTTCTTTCTTCCTGATTTTCCAATCACATATGCCTCCTGGGATGGCTTTGTTTTTATACTTTTAAGAGGTAACTTTCAAAGAAGCGAGAGGCTTTTATCAAGGGGAAGAAAAGAATCATTTGGCACCAGCGTGACACATGATTTAAAATTGCCATTAACCTTTTAGGAGAAACACTTTTCCCAGATACATAAATTTCGTGTGGCTGACTACAGTAAAAAATCTCTTATTATTAAAATTCATGTTCAAGAAGACACTTATATTTATTAGTCTCCCATGCTGTTCCGGAGTAACAATTTTACAGTCAAAATAATGGCAGTAACTCCATGCACAGCACATCCTTCCTAGTTAAGGGAAAAACACATACAATCTGGCTGTGGCTGATAATGGTCCCAGAACATGAACAGGATTGCTTTCCCCATTAGTCTTTAAAAGAAGTATGCATACAAACACAGAAGAGGACAAAAAGGGCATTTGCTTACAGCTTCTGTTTTAAAACCATACCGCCTAAATGATAAACTTAGCTTTATGTACAGGACAAACAGTATTTCCAAAGTATTTCTATTATGATAAAATACTACTGCATTATAAAAGTAGATAACTGAGTTGGAGCCACACTGACAAGATCAGCACTCATGTTGTACAAAAACCTCTGCCATCTCAGACAGAACTTTCACATCATGTTACACTAGTTTAGCAAAGTCAGATTACATAAAAACAACAAAACTGGGGGGAGGGCGAGTCCTTCTGAAAAATAAGCACATCTGATGACAAAAGATGGCACTGTTTTCTAACTATTAATCGGTTCTCTTTTATAACAAGGCTCCAACCTGACTCGTCCTATATAAAATAAGAAAGGATTACCAATGCCCCACACACAGACTAGGTTCTCTTTGTTTATACTCTTCACATACAGTCCTGTAGGGGAAACTTGACACGAGGGTGGATTCACTAGCAACTAATAAACATTCAAACTTCTGCTGAGTTATTTATAACATCCACATCCTATGTGGATTCTCTAGAGATACGTACTAATAACATCCATCCTACATCTTTCTCTCAAAGCCTTCCAGTGTCTCATGTCAAAATGTTTATAATACCCTTTAAAATGAAGATGAGGGATTTTTTCCAAGGCTAGTGTTAAAAGAATGATTTCTACACTTATTGCTGGCATCTTTTTCAATCTTTTAAAAGAAATGTTATAACGACTGTTCTTTAAACTCCTTTTTCAGATGCAGTTAGATTACGCTGAAGCATCAAACTGAAAAGCTCTATTTAGCTCATGCACTAGGAAAATTCCACTCCCAGGGTTTCATCTTCATTTTAGAACAAAACCTTAAGCTTCTACCAAAACTTGCTATGAAACCAGGTTTTGCCAAGTATTCACGGGAAAAGTTACTGTGTTGTGTGTTAACAACATTTTTGGAACAGACCATTTCAGGATATCCTAAAGGTGGCAAAATGCCATTACCTGGCCTATGAAGGATGTGTCTTGTTGAACCTGCCTTAAGATCAGATGAACACACAGCTCTAATTCTCTCCTACTGTGAGAGCATCACATGGGCCCTGACCAGACAAACTTACTAAACCATATGAATGCTCAGGCTCAATCCTAAATTAGCATTTGAATTTGGTCAGGTGTGGCTTTTGAAGTGTCTCTCCTGATCACCCTGTTGTAGTGAGCTTTAGTTCACACCATGGAAGTTTGAGAAATACCTAAAATCCTCCAACTGCCAACAGTCATTGAACCCAAAGGACTTGTCTAAATCTAGTCCCAAGTGTAAGAACGCAGAGCAGACACTGGGCCTCCTGCAACCTCCTCACCCTGTAAACCCTGCTCCACTTGGCTGCCTTACTTGCTAGCACAGCCAGAACTGCTGGAGACCTGCTACTCTGCCACAGAAGCAACACCAGCACTGAACAGCATTAACTTGCTCTGAACTACTACATTACAGACCTTTACAGTTATTTCACTATGTTTAAGGTTAATATGTGACTATATAAGTATTAGATTCCATTTAAGAAACTCAATAAAATCTGCAGAATTTTCTGATCCATCAAGATTCTTCTGTACTTCCCTGAAAATCAGTTACACAACATCAGTCAGTAAGGAAGTTCTATTTGTCTTATTCTTTAGTCAAAATATTATTTCAAGTAGCATCAATGAGTTCCACCTTCTCCCACACAGAACATAAACAGACACCCAATGCTGTAGACACTACTATCTCTTACCTCTTTCAAGCAATGAAAAACACTCCGCTAATGACTGTTGTTTTTTTTTTTAAAGTAAAACACACAGCAGTGCAATCAATTTATTTATTCAAACAAAGACTTCAGCTGAAACCTGCACAAAAACACACTAATGGTAAATGCCAGTGTTATTTACACTTCAAAAGTACACTAGATTTTTGCCTAAATGGAGAGCCAGAAGCAATGTTCTCCTTGCTACACTGCTATATTCTTCACACTTTGAATGCTGCATTAAAATTAAGTTAACAAGAGAACACAGAAACAGTCTCTGCCACTTTACTTCATTGTAATTGAATGTTGAGTCAAAGAATCCCGAATTCTATCAGCCACTGTTTAGCAGGCTAGTTCTCCAAAAACACTCGAAAACAAATTTATCAACAAAACTGTGACAAGTAATCTCCACCTCAACTATCGGTCACAGGTAGGTGACAAGAGAACCTGCTTTCATTAAACTCTGTGCTGGCCTGGTGGTGCCAGACATGTGTACTGTACACTGCAATTGGAAGCATGACAAAACGCAGAAGACAGGCACTAATTTATGGACTGTTTCCTACTGCTGCCAGGAAAGGCTCAAGAACTTGCTGAAAAGCTACCTCATAACAACAAATCCCTCAAACTACACATAATTATAGCTTTAATATGTACTATTACACATTCAATCATCTTATTTCCACAAGAGCAGCCAATTCATTTATTTTATTCCCTGCACTTTCAATATGCTTCAGAAACATCTGTTAAAAGAAAGATGGATGCCTGAAGTCTGAGTTGTCTTCCCCATACCTTGCACATCTATAAAACCATGATGATGACAAAAAAAGTTGTGCATGTAAATCAGGAATAATTCCCCCCTAATTAAATATTTTCATTATGTGAAACAAGGTGAAATTAGGAGAGGGGTGAGGAAAGGAAGTTATTTTTAGGAATGTCACACTCAAACATAAAAATAAAAGAGCCAAAAGGACACGCAGCTACATGGCAGCCATGCTCATCAGTTTGTGTCTGTCAAAATACAGCATGTTCTAGTGTAAAAAAGAAATGCTAAAGAGGTAACCCAGACATCTGCCTAAGGAACAGTTTCACCAAAATTGCCTAAAAACACCAAAAAAAAAAAAAGAAGAAACCAAAACACCACCTAAAAAACCCAAATGTGCACTCAAAAAAAACCCCCACAAAAACCAACCCACCAAAAGCACACTCAGAGTGAGGTCTAGGACTACTGTCAACAGCTTCAGATATTCAGTAACACCTTAACTCAAGGGGCTAGATTACAAGTACTTAAACTCTTTTTTCAAACATTCATAAGCTTTAACTTGGAACAGAGCATACAGCTGAGGCAGATTCTGATCTGTGCCTTGTGATTTTTTTTTTTCACTGCTTTTTGCAATTTACCACTATATTCTTCTACAATCTTAAGGCATATCACAGTTCTTCTGTCCAGATCAAAAGGGGAAAGTTATGTGATACATAGAAACACTTGCAAACTATTTTCCACTCTATTAACATTTTGTGTACCAAACTACAGATTTTTAAAAAAATTCTCAGAATGGCTGCTGCTTAAAATTAGAGGCTCTGATCTCAACAGATCTCTGATCTTCACTCTCTTTCTACCTTCTTTCTCCTTCCCATAAAGCTGCATTATGTAGTAACTTTCAGACTACTTAAATATCTAAGCATTAAGAAAATTAAGGCAATTACTGACAATTTTTTTAAAAAACCATTTTATAGACTGTGTTTTCTGTTTCAGTGGTTCTTTCTACAATGCAGAGGTCCACAGATAATGAAAGATAAAACCACACTGATGTCTGTTAAACTCATTGTTAAACCTTTGTTTTCCATTAAACTCCTAAAAACCAGTGAGGTCATTGCCTTGGAGATCTGTCACAAAAACAGAAGGAAAAGATGCAAGACATTCAAATCCAGAAGTCTTTTATTTAATGGGACTTCCAAAGTGTTTTAGGAAAGACTAACCTTATGTATTTGTTCATTTTAGTGAAAATGTTCACCAGCAGACTTCCTATGCAAAGTTTTAATAACTCATCTTTTATAAAGTTAAAAATCAATACAGGTATATTTCTTCCTGATATAAGACCTAACTTTACATATTGCTACACTGAAAGCACCATGGGGTGACTGAAGGAACCATAAATCTGAAAGTTTTTAATCACTCACACTCACTAAACTCTGTAATCTTGAGCTGCATTACACAAATGATTGACTTCTGCAATCTTGTTGCATCTATGCTATTTGATTTGCATGTACATCAGCACTTGCCACTGACAGGTGTCTGGCACTATCCTGCAGCAGAATATTTCACCTCAGCAGAAAAAAAACATCCATTTTAGGTGCATATGTTGCTTTTCAAAGACGACAATAAAGCCTGCAAGGCACATACCTTTTCGTAGTAAACTATTCCATATTCTTTATCATCACACTTGACACAACGGAACTCAATCATCAGGTACATAAAATTAGAACTTCGTTTCTCCCTCTGAGAAGAGAACAGCCACAGATGTGTATCAGATATTACACTGCATCAATCTTGCACTTGCTCAACATAGCAATTACCCCACTTCTTTGTGCTGAAACTGATTAATTAGATTATCAGTTGTTGTAGCAATTATTCAGTTAATCATTTCATAGCACTACTTGAGACCATATTACCTTTTTCCTGACATTCTTACTTCCTTATATTCTCACTGCATGATAAACATCAGCTAAAATCAGGTTGTTTTCACATCACATCAGTGGCTTGCAACTGTGGACTAAAGGTCTGCAAAAAGGCAATGAAGAAAAACCAACTGACAGCTCGGGTTTCTTGTGGTCTGTCTTTTTTTAAAAAATATCATTAAACACAATTATGCATGTTAGAGTCAAAAACCACAAGACATGAAAAAAAATCACTGTTTTAGACAGAACCATGAAAGAGACAAATTAGACTTGGACTACAAGATTAGATTTGCAGCTCACTTGCTTTCAGAGGAAGATTTGCTCATGTATGCATTTTCAAAATGCTTCACCTACAAAAATCGCTCAGAATTTTAAAATCTAGGTGGGAAACAAGAAAGATGTTACACATCACCACCACAAACACGTGTTTCATACAAGAAATAAACATCCCCTTTAACAAGAAACAACTCAAGTTTGTTTCACACATTAACAGTTGACTGACTTCCCCACACAGACAAGTTCTGCATTTAAGGTACAGATCTAAGAATCAGGAAGTTTTAGTTTTCTGTATTTTTACAGAAAGGGAAGAGTAAAAAGAAGGGATAGGCTGAGTTCTAGAATGAAAATGAAAAATATCCATAAGGGCTCTCAAAAACACAAATTTAAGTTCAAAAACAATCCGATTCACAGAGGTCTGATTATAAGCAAGATAAAGTCTGAGTGCCAAGCAGAAAACAACAGAGTTCTGGTGTGCGAGGTGAGTATCATCAGTTAACAGTTTGAGGGTGGTTTTGCTCAGTGAGGGTCAGCACCTCATTCAGGTATTTAACTACAAGATTTTTTGTTTTCTTTAAATAACCATTCAAATCTTACAAATGTTTTTCCTCAGCAGCCCTAATCAAAACCAATAAACCTGAACAGGTCTAAAACTGAGAACAGCCTCTCTCTCCAAACAGCTTCCCATCATAATCAAAGTCCTAGAGTTAAGTTAGTCAGATGTAACAACATTTGTTCCAAGCTATTCCAAATTACTAATAAGTGATCAAGTTCACCTGAAGATGAAAACTTCTAAGGTAGCTGTCTATTCTGGTGGGTGAGGAGCTGGCCAGGAGCCAGCCCCATGCATTCCCAGCCCAGCAGCCCCTGGCAGCCTGGGCTGCACGCCCTGCAGTGTGGGCAGCAGGGCAGAGAGGGGACCCTGCCCCTCTGCCCCGCTCTGGGGAGACACCCCTGCAGTGCGGGCACTGAGTGCTGGGGCAGCTCTGGAGTCCTCAGCACAGCAGAGACAGGGACCTGCTGGAGAGGGGCCAGAGGAGCCCCAGCAATGACCCAAGGGGGGAACCCCTCTGCTGGGACAGCCTGAGAGGAGAAGGCTCCAGATGGGGAGACCTTCTAGGGGCTTTTCAGTGCTTCCAGGGGTCTGTCAGAAAGAGGAGGACAACCTTTTTAGCAGGGTCTGTTGTGACAGGACAAGAGGTGATGTTTTTAACCTAATGCAGATTAGACAGAAGAACTTCTTTTACAATAAGAGTAGTGAAACTCTGCAACAGGTTGCCCAGAGAGATGGTAGGTGCCTCATCCCTGGAAAGATTCAGGGTCAGTTTGGACGGGGTTCTGAGCAACCTGATCTAATTGCAGATGTCCCTGCTCACTGCGGGGGAGGGGGGTAGACTAGATGACTGTTGAAAGGTCCCTTCCAACCCAAACAATCCTATGATTCTCATTATTGCCAAAGTAAAATCAACTTTGGGAGCTTAAATAAGTATTGTTCCTTTTATCACATACACTGGCAGTGGAAGAAAAATAAGACAAGTGTTTAGAATTACCATCCTGAACAAGCAAAGGTTCCGTATTAGCAAGGTACAAACAAACAACAAAAAAAAACCCAACTTACAAATGAGATGCATGATGACCTACCTCATTGATCATTTCTATTTCTCTAAAGGTCAGTCTGTCCAACCAGTCCACTTTCACCATGTGCCCTTGCCGATGAGACTTGGTGAGCTACGTGAAAAAATACAGTAACATTTAAATTGCTCAGAGGGGAAAAAAATAATAACAACGTTGTAATTTAACAGAGACATTAACATGAAATCAGGGGAAAAAAATAAAGGAACTGGAAAAACATTACTACCATGAAGGCACAGTAGATCCCTGTGAACAGCTGAGCCATGACATAAAGGTAATTCTACTACCTAAAGCACCAACCACAGCAGAGACCAAAACCACATTCCAAGCACATCACCTCTGTTTTTTAACACACTCAAAACAGGAACCTATTTTTCAAGGGAAGTGATATCACAAAGATTTAACTTTTTGTTACAAAGCTTCATACAAAAAAACTTACCAATACAAAAAAAGAGAAGGTATTTAAAAAAAAATCCAAATTGATTAATTCTGCCTTTGTTAGCCTTAACTAAACAAGTTTTCAGATTGGGACTTCCACGTCACAAAAGGTCATCTGAACATGCAGCGAGTCATAGAGAGCTTGTTCTCCCTTTCTTTTCAGTCATCTGCAAAGCAGTTCAAGTTTTACTGCTACATCTATATACTGCTGTAAAAATACCAAGGCAGTTGAGTTGCTTAGAGGACTACCTAACAGTGCAAGAGTGGAAGAGAAGTAAAACACAAGCTGTATTACCTGTAGCTTCAGATGCACTGACACAGAATAGTTTATGAGAAATTCAGCAGAAGACCACACAAATATCAACAGCAATCATCTGTACGCCCCTAAGATACCACAGTTATTCCTCAAAAACTAGCAATTCTTGCAGTATGCAGAAGAGATGCAAAGGGACTAAAAAGACATCAAGTTCCTTGACATTTCAACTAAAGCAGCACCTGCCTAGGAAATGACTAGTAAAAGACCCTCAAAATTATTCAAAAAAAGTTGTGGTTTTTTTTGGTCCTACTCACCTTCCCAGAATTTAATTTGGCTTTATGGTCTAACAACACTTTGAATACTAATTCCTACAACTAAACAAGAACCAAAACTTCCAATTAATTTTGTTTTCTTGGAAACACTTTTTGTCAGAAAGAGCTGGAATCCCATACAGCCCACACCATGGCCTCTGCACCCTCTCAAGGTCTGAACTAAATTTTAAAGCAGATTACTTATGACACTTAGCTCTGAATGCCAGTACTTGTTCATTTCAAAAATATGTTATCTAATTCAGCTTTTCTGATTCTTATTTCTTACCAAGTCTACTAGAGATGAGTTCTAAAATTTCCCACTGAGTATTAAGCCTCAGCTACAGCTACTTGCTCTACCAAAGTAAAGGACTAATCAAAAGCAGTCACAATTTTAAAAGCATTCAAAAAGCTATTCAGTTGGGAAGAAAATCCTACTCTTGGTTTGGTTTTTTTTTCATAACCTTCTTTCCAGATTTCCTAGGAACTGGACATTTCTACAATCACTACATATTAAATTAGCCATGAGCATCTGATGCCCTTTGTTCTGAACTGACTCCATGAAAGACAAAACCATAATCCAGTAACAACTATGAGATTATTTGCTTAAAGTATCTGATCCCCCTAACATTTCTGTAAGCTCTAAACCACTGTATCACTTGACAGAAGTTGAAAACATTGGAAGACCACTGCAACTTCTAAGAATTAATTAACTCTGTTCAATATATGGCAGGTGTTTTTTTTCATTTGTTTTGTCTCCAGTAAACTCACAACACTTAATCTTCAGATTAGCTTCAGTAAACTTCAGAAACTTACTAGTACAAAAGGAAAAGGAAGGGCAGGAGGAGCAAAGTCTAATCCTTAATAGCATTTCAGGAGGCTGCACATAGCCAAAGCACAGAAACCCAGTGTTTGGGTTCTTGCAACTTATCAGAAGGATTGTAGAACAGGAGTAGAATACAGCAATTTTTTTTTTTTTTTTTTCGCTCTCATATGTTATATTCTGCAGCCAGTTCATCAAACTCAATCTCAGCAATACTGCAGAGACAGAGTGTGCCAGAACTGTACTAAAAGGATAAGACTTGGCCTTTGCCTCGTGTCTGACTTCAAAATGTATCTGAAAGGTAGAGAACCAGCACCATGCAGACCAGTTATAACCCAAAATGCTGTTCCAGGCAGGCTGGACATCATCACTTAACGTGTTCACAGAAAAGTCTCCCCATTCTCAGCAAAGACAACACTCCTTACCCTGTAGGTCCACCATTTTAGCCACCTCTAAATTGCTACCTGCTTTTTTTTATTTTTATGCAACAAAATTATTTTTTTTTTTTTTACCTGAAGGCAGCCCTATTTCTACTAGCTTAAACCATGCATCAAAATTTTCAGAATACCACATATTCAAACCCAGCACTGATAACATGGATTTTCAATAGCATTTATTAAAGAATAGCAAAAAAATGTTATTTAGATACCTTGGTGGCAATATATTTGCTCATATGCTTGTTCACTGCATTAACAAATAAAGGAGAAAGTAATTCTGTATGTTTTAGAGGAAAACTATTAATCTTGTAACCTGCAAATCTCCCTCAGAGAGAGAAAAAGTCCTAATACAGTAACTAGATAGGGCTGCATACAAGACCCAGAAGAACTGTAGTCACATACATATCTATATATACATATGGACACACACTCACTCATGAAGAACTGTAGTCTTCGATTGGTATTTAAGGCGAGAGAGAAGATAGTCCATTCCCATCAGGGGGAATCTATCCCTTTAGATGCTCTCTCACTACTGTTATTATCTAATTTCATTCAGCCAGCAGGTGTAAGGGAAATGAATGGATCAAAAAGAATTTAAGAGTCCTTTCTGTTTGAGTAGAATAAATTAACGCACCACTCATGGGGGGAAACATCTTAATGTCATTAATATTTGAACATGCTAAGGTATTCCACACTCTTGCCATTAATACCCTTCAGCACAGGTGAAGTCTGCATGGATCCATTCTTTGTGAAGAACTGGTATGTTAAGTTGTTACAACAGGATGCTATGTATATTAAAATGTACTTAAACGTTCCCTTTTACAAAACACTTCAGAAGCAAATAAGTATGACCTAGTTTACTCATTTGCATAAATCTTGTGGAATATCTAAAAAGAAAACACCATGAGAAGCCTGTCTTCATTTCAGTCCAGTGAAAGTGCACGCTTGTCACTTACATCTTTAAGGGTTACTTGCTAAGCCATTACCTTTGCCAAGCGGCTCATTTGATCTTCAGAGACCGTGCTGCTGGTTCTCCCAGGAGTTTTGGTGGGCTCTGAGCCATCAGCTTCTACGTTGGGCCAGACTTTCAAATCGTGCATTCCTTGACGAAACATACTACAGGGGAAAAGGCAGAATTGCTTCAGTAAATTCAAAATACAGCTTGTCAGGAATCAAGGCACAGCAGCAGCTGCAAGAAAATGAAGTAGCTTCCTCTGCCAAACCTACAAACATGCACTGCCATGCACAGTTTAGCTGAATGCAAAAGTGCCTTGCACCTTGTACCCTCTACAGCCTTCATTTTTATTGGCACACTGAGTTCAGAAGAAATAACTTATTTGAAATAACTTATTTGGCAAATGGAAGAAACATGGGTAATTCCCAAAGTTAGTGAGGTGGTATAAATGCAGACTGAGGATAGGGCTTGACCTTCATAGCTTTATTGCTTCTAATGAAGCAGAAAGTATTCCTCTTGACTCACAAATTAAACTTTAGGTCTGCCAGTCTGAAAAAAAAAAAAAATAACTAGAAAACTATCTAAGTTTCATTTGAAGGCCAACTGATGGAAAGCAGCCTCCTGAGCTGCCAGATAAAATTTTTTAAAATCCCGCAACATGCCATTTTCTCCACCTATGCTTGAAATTGAACTGGTAATTGAAATTGTGCAGTGAACAGAACCTTCCAGTATAACTGACTGCACCTTCTCAGTGCAAAACCCTGCTGCCCTTGTAGATTTGTGCTGATCCACCCAAAAAGGTGCCCCAAGAAAAAAGTGCATTACTTTTCCCAGTAAGTGATGATCACTTAACTTTAATAACGTCAGTCAAATACAACTGGAAGGAAAGCTTTAAAAAGTCAACCATTTAAAATGAGAAACACCAACTAGGATTATCTGACCTTGAATTTACACATCACACATCACTTTGTGGAATACGATTACTAGGTTTGCAGAAATTATGCAAATTCAAAATTATTTGTCACTTTCTGTCTATCTACTTCCCCCGGGCCCCACATGCTAGAACTAAAAGTAAATTTCATTTATAAATTTCTGTCTTTTTTTCAGGAACTATTCTCCTATGCTTTAAAAACTAACAGCAGTCTTTAGGGCATAGACCAATTGACCTAGTTCCATTTTCTGCCCTAAAATGTCCATCTTTTTGTCAAAGTAGTATCTTGAGAGATACAATTTATATACTCATTTTCTGCATTCAAGCATCACTAGGACAGCTTTTCTAACGTTAATCAAAACTTTTCCTGCGTTTCATTTTAGCCTTATTACTTCTTATCCACAGACAAAATAAACAAACAAAAAAAGCCATCTCAATTTCCTGTTACCTACATACTAGAAAAGTGTTCCTAGAGTTTCTTCTTCAGCCTCACTAGTCTTTACTCCTCTACCACCACACCTATTTGCTAGACAGTCAATATGAACTCCCTTTGACTCACAGTTGTCAGCAAGGTGCTTAAAGTCCCTTATCTGACACCAACCACATCCCGGGTGAGTACTGAGGAGGAGGACACAAAACTGACCCTGATGCACATACTCGTACACTGTCATATCTTCAGTGCTGCTTGCATGTTTCACAAGAGGATTGTGATGTTGAATCACAACATAAGATTTGCTTTGAAACCCAAATCTTCTCTGTTTTCTCAGGCAACTGCTGTCCAGTGTACATTGGCTACAGTCAGTGGCAGTAAGTACCAGTGTCTCATCCTTTTCCTTACGTTCCACCCTATTTTTTTTTTTCAATCCCCTGTGGACTTAGTCAAGATCCTTCTGATGTACTTGTAACCCTTCCCAGCTTACTGTTACCATCCACAACTTTACTAAACTCCCTTGGATCACAGATTAATAATTTTGAAAACTCCTAACTTACTCAGTTACACTCTATTCCTTACGTATAATGCTTCATTAGCAGCCCAATTGCAAGCCAGTTAAATCAATTATGTTTAGTAAACAGTACTGCCATCCATGCATTACTGAAGTATAAATATGAAGGAATTTTAGTCACTTGCTACCTTAAAATTCAGGTTTACAGATCTAAAAAAAAAAAAAAAAAGCCTAAATTGTACTGTTACACCAAGAAAGACCTTTTTTTTACAACACTGTTAGCATGTATGAAGTCACACTCAGGAAGAAACAGAATAAATCAGCTATGTATCTGATTTTTTTACACATGGAACTGTTAACCTGGCTTAAAAAAAAAATAAATAAAAAATCTCTCATGACCACCACTACCTTGCTATTCAAGAGTGAGCTTCACACCTGTATGGCAGAAGCAGCAGCAGCATACCCGTATTTCCCAAAGAGCGAGACCGTTGTTCCTCCCACGGGAACTGCTTTCCCGGGTCCATACACGTCCCAGATGGTCAGAGCCACCTGGGCGTTGCGGGGCAGGTCTGGATACTTCACAGGCAGCTTCAGCCATTCATTCCAGCTGCAGAGAAACACGTTCTATTAGTCATACAGCTTTAGAATACAGGTTGCTCTGTATTAGCTTATACAAGCCAGATTGTCCTTAGAATATGGGTTTCCAAGTACAGATGGACTATTTTCCTGTAGGCTTTAACCATTCAAACACTCGTGCTGAGCATGATCAAAAGGCTAGAGACCAAAGGAAAATACTCTAGCTTGATGACTAACAACCAAAGAACACTTTGTCCAGTAAACAGTATGAAAATATGCTTGTCCAGGCCCTGAAAGTTTTTTAAGTAGTAAGCAATGCTCAAACACATAAGTCACAATTTTACTACTTACCCATTATACAAAAAGTTTGGGTTTATTTGTCAGGGCAACACTTAGTAACTCTACAAAGACTTGAATAAATGTAAGTTATCTGAATAAGATAATAGGAAACCAGTATTTTGGACACAAACAAAACAAATGGATTTATTTATATAACTTGATGCCCAAATAACCAAGAGGAGTATGGAATAAAAGGCAGCCACTTACTTCCATCTAGTGCTAAAAGCTTTGTAGGAAGTCCTAACTGGTAGAGCAAGAGGTTTTCCTTCTGCAAACACCTGACAAGTTACATACAAGTCAGAGCAAGTTTCTTGATATAGGCCTGAGAACTTCAGCATTGGATCTTCTAAGAGGGCTTTGTAACTCTTCTGTTCTCTCTTCCCTTCCAGACTTCCTCTACATGGAGAAGGAAAACAAAAAAATCAAGAGGCGGGGTGGGGAGAAAACAGTAAAACAAAATTCATTTTATCCACAATAAATAACCTATTCTTTTTCCACAGGTTCCATTTAAGTCGCTCAGTATTGAGACTATTCTCACTCAGTGTCAAGTAATAAAATCCAAATATTGGAGAGGAACTAAGGATGTGCTGTGATGAACAAATACAGAATTTACTGCTATACAGATATGGGGCATGTGTGCACAGAAGAGAAGGGAATAATTACTCATTTGCCTTTTCAATAGAGATAACTTCCTTTAGTACAACCTGTAGATTCCCAGACAGCATCAAATGAGGTACTCTAAGCAGGGCAAAAATGAAATGACACATACTGCTACTATCAAAACAAATCAAACATTAGATTGTATGTGCTCCAAATACTATCGGGGGTTGGGGAGGGCAGGCTGGGAATATGAGAAAAGCCTTATTTTTAAGCTGCACAAAATGTGAAATATGTGACTGGTTTCATGTGCCAGGTGCCTCTCAAATCAACAACAAATCAAAGCACAGCTAAGCAGACTGTTTGAAACAAACTTGGTTAGAGTACTGTAACAATGTGTCACTAGTGTTAAGAGTATATTGATGGAATTTCTCAGACCTCAGCTATACCATGATGAAAACAATCATGCATATTAACTATCTGACTGTGAATGCACATGCGAAAACAAAAATGGAATTGTGCTGGCAATGGAAAAACATGTGAGACCTATCTTCCAGCAAACAAAACTCTGTGAGAGCCACAAAACCACTTCAGAGCAGATGAACAAGTTTCTTGAAAGAAACTAGCACACTGCAATCCAATATACACCCTGGTGCACAAAAATATTTCCTTGTTACACTTTTGTTAAGCAGAACGAATTGGCAAAAAGGACACATGCACGTGACTTCAGATACTATCTTCAATTCAAAAGTTGATCCCCAAATAAGCTTCTGCAAGTTAGTTTCCAAAAAAAAAGGGCAAGATATCTTAATGAAGCAACATTAGGTAACCTACATTTAAAGCCTACTACGTAATCCCTCCTATGAAAATGTAAACATCTCACTGCTGTGGTGCAGAAAAACCTCAAGTTTGAAAATTAAAAGACGAAGAAGCAAATACATAAGCGTGTGGTAACACCAGCTGCAGCAAGAACGTCTGCATACACCCACTTAGGGACACATTTACATGCTGCAGCACCAGGATCTGCCAAAGAACCCGGCTATGAGCAACCTGCTTTCAAAGAGGCAGGCAGACAAGTAGGACGAAGTGCCCCCAGCTTGTGTCACTCCCTAACCCCGAGGGGAGAGCTGTGACAACAGCAGGTGAGAGGTTATCAGCGACACCAGCGCTGAGCTGACAGTCGATCTTTGCCTTGAAGCGCCGTCCCGCGCCGCGGGACCCCCGGCCAGCCAGGTCTGTGACCCACGTACAGCGAAGCTTGTACTGCCGCCCTCGCCGCGGCCCTTGCCCGGCCCCG